CTCATCTTTCACGAGTTCATTACAAAATTTTGGGTGGGACCCGATTGACCACGATACGATTGGACACAGATTGTAATAATTGGTTCGACCTAGTAATTCACTAGATAATTCTTTTCATCGGTTGGTTGTGTCCAATCGTACCGTGGTCAATCGGGACGCTCCCCAAAATTTTCACTTTTCACGAGTTCACACTAGGGGGAAAAGATTTATGATCGCTACTTAGTTTGACACACAACATGTTTTTACCATGATTTACTTTTTTACTTTTATTGTTTTCACGTTATATACATCGTATCACATCATACAATATAATGGCCATAACAAATTGTTAATTTGTTCCGCTCTACGCACAATGCCAGGCAACAGGCAATAGGAACAGGGAATAGGAAATCATATTGGGCTGCGTTCCGAAATTCACTGCCAGTATTGAAATTCTATAGTATATGTAACTATAGTATATGAACTATAGATTTTCAGTACTGGCAGTGAATTTCGGAACGCAGCCTTGGTCAATTATTTCTATTCCCTGTTCCTATTGGCTATTGGCTAATGTTTATTCCTATTACCTTTTACCTGATATTGTGTATAGGGTTTTCCTCTTAAGATCTTTGCACGTAGAAAAATTTTAACCGTAACCGTAAAGGTGCCAATACATGGGAGCGTTCCAGCGTCGAGCGTTAAAGCGTTAACCAATCAACGTATCAGGTTCTAGAAGTATACTTGTAGTTCTTGCGGAAAGTGGCACGTTGATTGGCTACCGCTTTAACGCTCGACGCTCGATGCTCCCATGTAAAAATACCTCAAGGTCGTAAGAAAACTGACCAATCAGAGTTGATTATTCTCTTTGCGTTCGAAGAATAATCGACTGTGATTGGTCAGTTTTCTTACGACCGTATGGTTACGGTTACAATTTTTCTACGTGCAAAGACCTTAAAGCCCATTCTACAAGTGCGTAAGCGTAGTCGTGAACGTAAGAGTCAACCAATCCGAATGTTTTATTCACTGATTGCTTTATTCTGATTGGTTGTCGTAATCACTTACAACCACTTACATCCACGTTCACGCAATTGTAGAATGGGCTTAAGAGGAAAGCCCTATACACAATATCAGGTAAGGGTGCGTTCAGATTCCTCATCCAGGTGCACTCTATTACTAAAATCACTACAGTATATGTTACATAAACTATAGCACTTCTAGTAATAGAATACACCCGGGTGGAGAATCTGAACGCAGTCTAAAAGGTAATAGGAATGGACATTAGC